ACAACAGAGTAAGTTACTCCAGTCCCATTAAAATAGGCACAGCTAAGTCTAATTCTCTCTAAATTCTCACAGACACCGAGCAGGAGGAGAACGATGTGCCGCTGGCGCAGCGCAAGCGTTTCACACGCGTCGAGATGGCCATGGTGCTGATGGAGCGCAACCAGTACAAGGAGCGGCTAATGGAGCTACAGGAAGCGGTGCGCCTAACGGAGATACTGCGCGCCTCGCGCACAGTCGATAATTTGGATAAGAAGTCGAAACAGAGCATTTGGAAGTACTTTAGTAATCTTTTTACGTAAGTATATCACATATATTCCACCCTGCATATTCGGAGTATTAATTGCTTATATTTACTCTCACAACAGCCCCTCCAACCGTCCGACGGAACGCGTCGCTGACGGTCTTGGAGGGGGGCCGATGTTTCGTCACACAGGCGGAGGAAGTCCTGCCCACAGCCATGGATCACCCAGCCGTGGAGGAAGCGACAATCGCCTTACCCTAGCTGGCTCACAGCCGCCGCCGCATCCGGCCAGCGCCGGCCTTGCCAACGCACTAATCATGGCCAAGGACTATGCAGAGGAGGGCACCTCAGAGCGCATCAGCGCCAGGCGGCGTGAGCAATACCGACAGCTGCGTGCTCATGTGCAAAAGGAGGACGGACGCCTGCATGCCTATGGCTGGAGCTTGCCCATCAACAAGACCAATCAGGATGCCAATCCAAATCGCCATTCAGGCGGTGTACCCGTGCCCGTCTACTGTAATCCCCTAGCGGAGGCATCGCCGCACATGAAGGTGTTTTGTGCGGCAGGGGTGAATCTGCAAGGTGGCTTCACAAAGGATGGCCAATCGCTTATACCCGCCGATTCGCCCTATGCACCGCGCTCGACGCTCAAAATTGCGGAGATAACCAGTCCAACGGCCGAGCAGAGCGCCGAGGCGCTGGATCGCCAAATGGCGCGTGCCAGCCTTGAGACCCTGGAGCCCGAGACACAGCTCAGCTCGTTTGTGTGGATCTGCACCAGCACGCATGCCGCAAGCACGGTCAGTGTGGTGGATGCCAATCAGTCGGCCACTGTGCTGGATGCTTTTCCCATATGTGCATCGCATCTGCTATGCATTGCCTCTGTGCAGGGCGCCATGGAGAGCGACTATGCGTTGCTGGAGCAATCGGAAGTGGTCAAGGCGGGTGAGATGCTGCAGCGGCCAGGTGAGGGCCCCGAGCTGTGTGGCAAAGTGGAGTTTGTGCGTGTGCGACCCAAATCGGATCAGAACAGCAACAGCAAGCAGAGCTCACAGGAGGGTGAGGAGGTGCCCGCGACAATAACAGTCGTTGGCGTGGCAGAGGCCAAAGAGGCTACAGAGAAATCGAATGAGCAGCTGCCCGCCGTCGATGCAACCGAGCCGCTGGGCAATGTGGAGGCCATCAAGATACGCCAAGCGTTGCCAGGTGCACCGCAGCGACTCTCCTCCAGCAACGCGGACATCAGCAACAATCATGTCAACAATAACAACAGCAGCAGCAGCAGCAATAATGTGCAATTCAGCATAAAATCGTTGAATCCCATTCTGGGCACCAAAGACCGCGATGAGCCCTTAATGAGCTCAGTGGGACCCACCATGTGGATGGGCGCCCAGGACGGTTGGCTGTATGTGCACAGCAGTGTGGGCCGTTGGCATGAGTGTCTGCACAAGGTGCTCCTGCCCGATGCTGTGCTGGCGATAGTGCATGTGGAGTCGCGTGTTGTTGTTGCGCTGGCCAATGCTCAGTTAGCCGTGTTCCGCCGCCAAACAGACGGCCAATGGGATCTGAATAGTTATCACCTGGTTACGGTCGGTGATCGCAATCATTCGATACGTTGCCTCTGTGTGGCCGGCGAGCGCATTTGGGCTGCGCATCGCAACAAGATCTTCATTGTTGATCCCATATCGCTAAACATTGTGCACTCGCTGGACGCGCATCCCCGCAAGGAGAGCCAGGTGCGTCAAATGGCGGCAACAGGTGCTGGCGTTTGGGTGTCCATACGGTGAGGTCATAATCATTGAATCCGAAGTCCAATGAAATTAACTGATTTACTCCTGTTACAGCTTGGACTCCACACTACGTCTATATAATACACACACATTTGAGCACAAACAGGATGTGGATATTGAGCCTTACGTGTCCAAAATGCTTGGCGCTGGCAAGCTGGGCTTTAGTTTTGTGCGCATTACAGCGCTGATGGTGTCCTGCAATCGCCTCTGGATAGGCACCAGCAATGGCGTCATCATATCTGTGCCGCTGGCCGAGGTGCAGCAAAAGTCATGTGAGCTTAGCTTCCCATTCTATCTTTGTTCAAAGCTTAAACTGATTTATCCTCATTGCTTGCAGCTGATCCCAATGGTCACATGCCCTTGTGCTGCATGGCCAATGCTCAACTGTCCTTCCATGGCCACCGCGATGCGGTCAAGTTCTTTGTATCGGTGCCCATGCTCCAGCAGCCAAATGGCACGCTCACCTTTAGCAACAAACGGCCCGACATGTTGGTCATGTGTGGAGGCGAGGGCTATATTGATTTTCGCATAAGTAAGTGGAGTCACCGGCCATCCAAACTCTAGCTAAACTATTCACCAGTCCTGACAATCAGCGATCTCATATCTAACTAAACATCTATATATAAATGCAGTATATAGTATAATCGTTCCATATTCCTCTGCAGGACATGAAAAATACGATGCTAGTGATAATGCAGCGCATTTGATAGTTTGGAAAGTCGATACGTAAGCTTTGCTTTTAATTTTGTTTTTGAGTTGAATATGTTTTTAATTTGCGCCGTTTACGTAATGATTCTTTTTGTTGTTTCAATAATATTTTTAATTTCTCTTTTTGCTTAGTTTTGCATTGTTGCTATGTCTATTTGTTTACCTAATTGCATTTTCTTTTTGTTTAACCTTTGCCGTGGCCGTGTAGTACCTTCAATTTGTARTGCTCCGAACAGCGACGTGCCCATGGGCCGACAATCCAATTGGAATGCAGCATTCTTCTAAAGGTTTATCCATATATTTATGTTCAATATTTTGTTAAATTTTTGATTTATTTCTGTTTATCACGTTTTACAACCTCCAACAAATTTGTCTCTGCACTTTTTTGTCACAATGTTCCAATGAAATCCACAACCCAAATTCAAATATGTGGATTATCTGTAAACTGTTCTCTTTGGTGTCCTTGTGAATTGTCCCTGTGAACTGCTATATAAAATATATAAGAGCAGCAATTGTATTAAAAAATAACGAAACAAATGAAAAACCTGATACAGGATATAAAATATCAATTTTGTATATACGATTTTTTATCTAACTTTTAGTTGCGGTTCTTAAACTTTCGGTTGTAGTTTGCTGATTTTATTTATTTAATGCCTTTTAATATTTATTGTAAATTTTATTTGCTTAATATTTTTAAAATAAACTTATACTTTTTATATATTTTTTATTTAATTTTGCTCCAGTTCTTACAAAATTGCTGGCTATTTTACAAACTACCAAATAAATCGCGCACTCTCACTAAAATATTATAATAATGATGAAAATAAATACTAATCAAAAACCAAATAATATATGAAATCTTGATCAAGTTATGCATATATATCAAATTATGATATATGAATGCTGCATAGTAGCTCAATACTTTTCAATGCTTTTGTAAATTATCTAAAAACAATTAAAAATCTCTTGTAGTTCTGTCGCAGCAGCACTAACTAAGTGTACATTGTGTATATATGTTCCTGATTTGCTAATTTGAATTCCTTAACTCTTGCAGATGATAATGACATGGAGAACAGTATTCAACTGGAACCAAATCAAACAATCGAAAATCGTGGCGATAAAAGTTATTTGATTGTGTGGCATGTTAGTCAGCGTTAAAACTAAATTGTTTTAAGTAAATTACAAGTTATGCATATATATAATATACATATATATACAAATCCGACCCAAGCAGTTACAAGTTTTTGCAGGCTAGAAAAAAAAAAAAAAAACAAATATCTTTACCTTAATTTAGTTTTTAAAGCTCCCAACTTATTTACAGTACAATGCGTCCGAGCATTGCCAAGAGCATAAGATAGACATATATACATATATATTTTGGTTAGGCAAACAGACTTGTGCTAATACTTATGCTTCACATACTAGCTTCATATATAAATATTTATATTTAAAAAAATGAAAAAATTAACCTAAATGTTATTTAACACAGTGATAGCTCGCTATATAACTCAATGATATATAAATTAAAATTTGTACATTTTATGCGCTCTTGAAGCAGAGAAAGTTATGTTTTTTACATATATATATATTCAATAGAAATGTCCAAATACCTTAAACTAAACTAAAGATCCCGTTTGTGCGTGATTTTTTTATCCAAATAATTAGTTAAATTTGTATTTTAAGTTCAAAGTTTCAAAAAGCAATTTCTAATTTAGTTATTTGTTAAATAATTTTAATTTTTAGTTGAACCGATTACGTCTAATTGTTATTAATTTGTTTAATAATACGTAATAAACGAAAACAAGACCAACATTTCGAATATTATTTTTCATTTTTATTCTTAGAGGCAAAAAGTGATATTTATAATTTAGAAATTTTTGGATACTTTAAATACGGATTTTAATATGGCATAACAAGGCGAACTTACGCATTAGCTTTGGCTTGAATCGAGCAACTATATAATGGATAAATATACATATACATATATATAACACTAGATTATGTACTGTAAATAAAGCCACAATTTATAAAATATAGCAAATTATGTGAAATAAATTATGGATAACAATTGAGGATTTATTGGATTGGTATGAACTATCTAGGATTATGTACAGAACTGGACTATCGGGCAGCTTTGGTAGTTATAGAATTGGAATATCTACAACTGTAAATAAGGCTAGTCTGAATGATAGATTGTAGACTTTTGACTATTGTTTAGATTAGGTAAATGCATTTCAACATTGACTCCGCTTTGATTTGTATCTAAAACATTTTTTTATTTATCTTATTTAGATCTTATATAGTTCATTCATTAAAAACTCCATTCTATATCCTCTCGGCATTCCTGCGCATGATCATCGAGTGATGCGATTATGCCGACAGCATCATCATCATCCATTATGGAATTGGTATCCAGTTCGGATCGACATTTCTTAATGTAATCCGTGATGGAGGCGTGTCTGCATTGCTTGAAGAACGCGTGAGTCATCAGCTTCTTGGCGCTCCAGCGATTCTCGGCATTGCGATTCAGACAAATCTCCACAAACTGATGGAAATCGTCGGAAAGCACACGTTGGCTGTAGATATCATAGGTTCGGCGCGTCGTCGCATTCTCAAATGGAATTTTGCCCTGGTCGTCCAGGAGCATAGTATACGTCGATCTATCTAATAAGGACGGCACATTTCCACGTATTTTCTCTGTGTACATTAGCGTGGGTTGTGTCTCGAAATAGGGTTGGATACCGTTAGCCAGCTCACATGCCGTTATGCCCACGGAATAGATATCTGATTTCTCCGTATATCCATGAATATTTTGATCCAAAACTTCCGGAGCAGCCCAATTCAGATGCTTCTCGTGCGATATGCCATGCAAGACGGGTTTCTTTTTGCCATGCTTTATAAAACTGCGACTCTCGTGAAAATTAGATAATACTGCCTTATTTCCGTCCAATAAGATGTGCAGAGCCCTCACAGACCCGTGAACAAAGTCATTCGAGTGTATATACAAAAGGGCGGCGAGGACATCCTTGAATATCAATGCTATCAATGTCTCTGGAAAGCCGTTGCAGAACGTCGTTTTAAGCAGAAGTTCACATGTGCCAAAGCACATATACGGGTGCAGCACATAGACATCGCTATCCACAATAAAACTATTTAAAATCTTATTGATATTGGGATGATTGAATTGTCGACAACATTGAATCTCGGCGAAAAGTCGCTTTAGTTCGGCATCATCGTCCACTTCCAATGAATATTTTTTAACAACTAACACACGATTGTTGACAGTACAATTTGCTTTGTAAACCGAACAGAATTTGCCATGCTTAAATGCTTTTGTGAATTCATAGTCTGTTAAGCTATTGCTAAACATTATTATTTCAATTTGTAGAAAAAAATTTGTGTTCGAATTTCGAACAGCTGACTTTGACAGCTGTGACCTAATTAACGGCGTTGCTTTTGCAAATTGACGGCTTGGTATTGCCCGCGCAAAATTTGAAGGAATGCGGTTGATTTATTCTTTATCAATTCATAATTAATTTAAATATGTATAGTATTTTCTTTTGATATACGGTATTCAATTCATGCTGTAAAACAATTATACAGGATTCTTATAAGTATGGTTATTTAATTTTTTGTCGTTATTTCTGGTTGTGCTGTGAACAGCTGATTTTAACAAATACTACCTTAAGAACGGCGTTCATTTTGCTAATTGGCAGCTTATGAGTGCGCACAGTCGCAAAAGGCGAGTGTACGAACACAGCATTAATGCTGTTTATTTATATTACAAATGAAGTATTTTAAAAATTGAACATGGCCACGATAAGCGACACCTTTCGTAGCAACTGGCTAATCGCTACCTTTGGCCTGGGCTTGTTCATCGCCGGCTCCAGTGTTCTCTACTGGAACGAAGGGCGAGCGGTGCACACGATGTTGGCTCTGGATGAGGCTTACGCAGACATCTACTCGATGCAGTTCACCGAGGAGGAGCAAGATATGAATTTTGAAAATCGGATTGTACATCTATCGGGGCCCATCATATGTGGAGAGCCGCTCACCGAGCCCGACTACAATATACAGCTGATGGCAGTGAAACTAAGGCGTCGCGTACAGATGTACCAATGGGTGGAAGAAACAGTGGAGCACAATTTCGGCGAGAGCGTGGGCACAGAGGCGGACTCACGAAGCTATTACTATACACGCGAATGGCGGGACAAGATCGTGGACTCGCGACAGTTTTACAATCCACATGGCCATACGAATCCACAACGTTTCCCCATCGAGAGTGCCGTCCAGGTGGCCGATGCGGTTTACATAGGCAAATATGAGCTGGGGTCGGCTGTGAAGAACAAGTTCAACAACTACCACGAATTGACCTCGGACATAAGGCCGGATGACAGCGGAATCAAGCTGCATCTGGGTCTCTACTATCACACCAGCGATGTGTTCAATCCGGAAGTAGGAGATCTGCGTCTGCTCTTCACCTATGCGGGACTGGAGGGCGAACTGTACAGCATCGTGGGTCGCCTGCAGGGCAACAAAGTGGAGCCGTATGTCACCAGTCGTGGAGTGTCCGTGCTGCTCGTCTATCCGGGCGAAATAAGCGCACTGGAGGTATTCCGATTGGAGTATAGGACTCAGGTGCTGCACACCTGGTGGTGGCGCTTCATAGGCTGGCTCCTGATCTTCTTTGGCGTTACCTGCAACACGAAACTGCTGAGGGTTGTATGTGAGTGGATAACCAAAGACTTCTACACTATATATATTCATATATTTACTAGCATAAAGATATTTAACTCTACATATATTTCTATTAATATATCCCTTCTACTCTCCTCTTGCAGTGCTCCGTGTGCCTTTGTTAATTGGCCTGGCGCCCGATTCGCATTATCCGGTAACTGGGAACTTCTTGATCGCCTTCTCGCTGTCGCTGACCATTGCTGCGGTGGCCTGGATACTGCATCGACCTGTGATTGGCGCGTGCCTGTTCCTAGCGGGCGCCTCGCCCTACGTCTGGCTCACACGCAATTTCGTGGACTATCAGCGAGTAGATTAGTCCGTTATGTTCTCGTACGAGTAGATATTTACACATAACTTATTTGTATTTCGTGCCATCAATGTCAATAAAAAACTGAATAACACTTAAAAGCTAATCGTATCGCTATAATCCTAATCCTAGAACTCTCGAATGCCCGGATTCGTTGGTTCGCTTAACTTCGATTTGGGCGTCGACTCAGTGGAGGTGTGCACACTGGGACTCTGCGACTTGTCCTGCTCCTCATGGCAAGCGGCCGGCTCCTCGAAGCGCACGTAGGGCTCGAAGCTGTTGTTGATCTGCACAGAGCCACGATGCAGATTGTTGGACTCCGCCTCAAAGAGTATTTCGTTGATGAACCTCTCGGCAAGCAGACGCTGCTCGCGAGGCAAGCGCTTCAGCTTGTATGTCCAAGTGCGCGCAATGGACTCCTCCTCCGGATAAGTGCCCGCCAGATACTCGCAAGCTATATTCAACAGCTCGTCCGTGTTGTGCGTGCTCACTGTAGTTGTGGTGGCGGAGGAGGAGTTGTTCCCGTTGCTACTACAGGGTGGGGTCTGCCTGGCTCGCTTTGCTGCATTTGAATAGTCGGGCTGCTGGTGCATTAATCCCGATCCCGCTGCTGCTGGCGGCGGTGGCGGTGGCAGCGGATCTACCTTTTGTACATGCCCAAACGATTTGTGAAACATCTCCGAGATGTTCGGCGTCTGACCCACTCCACTGCGATAAGAGTAATGCAAGGAGGAGGCGCTGCTGCCACTGCTGTGCTCCATGAAGGATGCCGTCGAGCTGGAGTTTTCGTTGAACGAGAAGCTGGGCTCGTTCTTGAATGTAGGATTCACCGCGAGGAACTTCTCTGTATTCCTCAAAAAGTCCAGCTCCTGAAAGGTCCAACAACGTGGCGTATGCAAGCTGCCCGTGCGCATAGCGCTCTCCACGACCTTCAGCTCCTTGCGATAATTCGTGCGCAGTGTGTTGATCTTCTTCTTCACGTCCTCGACGGTCGCATCTCGCTTTAGATAGTGGTAAATGGGCACCAAGCGCTGATATGCCTCTGCTCGCTTCTCTCGATTCGTGTAATCCCGCAGAGAAGTGTCCCACAGGACGGGCATATCCCGATATGTCTGTATGAAGGCACGCAGATAATGACGATTCTCCTCGGCTCCGGACATTATTTTGATGCTATGCGACGGCTGCTGCGACGGAGGCGGCGGTTGGTGAAGCATTCTCTTTTATTCAAAATCCACTTTCAAATGCTCCCTCTGAAAGGGCGGTAAAAATATACCAAAATAAACACAAAGCGAAAAACGATCGAAATAAGTTTTACTTCAGCGTGTAAGTGAAAAAATGACAAATTTATGTATGGACCTATTGACGAAATGTCATTTTGTTGTTGTAGTTGCGATGGTGGTGGTGGTTTGCTTGACAGATTGCTGGGCATATTGCTGCATTGACGTAACTGCGCTTGTATGTGTGACGTCACAGCAACAAGTGTTGTCTGCGCTTAAGTTTTTATTTTACTGTGTGTGGTAACACTGCTTTGGCAATCGAATATAAACACTTAACGATGAGTTTTATTTGAACAGAGTACCATTTTGAGTATAACAGTCTCTTTGTATGTTAAAGGCGCCTTTGTAACAGTGCCTTTGTGAGTAGAAGAGCAGACAGCATTAACATTTATGTAAAATAAAGCGAGACGAACAGCCGTGCGACCGGACGTGTTTGACCGTTGATTTTGATTTTTAATTCCGACGCGCTGCAAAGAAAGTATAAACTGAAACACGTACAAGGCGCAGTGTAATTATTTGTATACGAATTACAAGCTACATTTGTGCAATTAAACGCGTGTATGCAAAAAAGAAAAATAAACAGGATTGCAAAAAGTGCTAAATTAAAGTGACGCCGTCCGCTGCTTCTGTTTCTGCTGGCTGCATTTAGTGGAATTCGATTGTGTGCGTGCACGCTACGCGTAAGTGTGTGTGTAAATTGTGACTGTTGGCGCTTGGCAGCGATATTTTGCGCGCCGCTTTTTAATTAACCAAAGCGTTGTTCAATTTAATTGTGCAAAAACAAAGATGCTTTGGCATTGGGCATTATTCAAGCTATGAGTAAATCAAAGCAAACAAACCAACATTAAATAATAAAACAAAGAAAATCAAACACGAAAGCTGTTTCAAAAGTGTATGTGTGTGTGTGTTCGTGTGTCCAAAATTAATGCAATTCAAAGGAAATGGAGACCATCGAGGAGCAATCAAAAACAGGTGAGTTCGCGAATCGTAAAATAGAAGAGTGGGCATCAGCAGCTGTTTTGCCTCACATCCGCTGTTTGTCTTTATTTCTATATAAATATAGAAATATATATTTTTCAATTTTTAATTTTTCAATGTCGCAGGCGTTAAGCACACATAAAATATGTCACAGCCAGCAAATAAATATCTTGGCTAGTACTTTCTTGTTGTAGTCAGGGAATTTTAAGCTGCTTTTTTTTTTCAATTTTTTGAAATTTATTTCGGTGTGAAACATATTTATGTATCGTTGTGAATGATTTGCGCGCATATAATATGTGTGTGTGCTAAATGTAGTTGCACCCCTCACCCCGCTGCGCACTCGACAAACCGGCACTGTACCCAGCAACAACAATAACCAAAAGCGCAGCCGCCGCGGCGAAGTTCCTGGCTGCCTGCCTGCCTAACTGTAGGTAGATCAACCAACAAATTACGTGCGCTCACCCTCTGTTCTCTGCCTCTCTGTCTCTCTCTTTTTGTCATGCTAGTTTTGTTATTGTTACTAGACCTAGCGATTTACCTACCACACGTTTGCATGTCTGCTCTTCCCTGCCTGTCCTTCTTCCCTCTTTCCGGGTATACATACTTAACAGAGCGCGCGCACATGCCAATGTTTTCGGCTGTCGGCTCAATGTTAATGGCATTCTTACATACACACAAGCGCATCTGCATATATGTATAGGTGCGTGTGTGTGTATTTTTGTGCGAAGGCCTCTGCGTAGTCGCAATGTACTGAGCCAAGGTTCTGCCAGATGACAACGTAATTTTATTACAAGATTCCACTTTGATGAGTCTGTTGCAGAGAAATCCTTTAGCGAAATATCAGAACTAGAGTCCCCACGCTGATCATTATGCAAATGTCACTCAATTAGTTTTTCGTCATGTCTCTTTGGCAAGGGGCCAAAGCAAACGAAGAAGAGACAGCATAGAGAAGAGAGTAGTGAGTGAGCAGCGCAGGCAGCGGCAAAGGGAATTTCCCAAAATAAAAATAAAGGAAGAGAAGTAAATACTTTATTTCCCTCTGTCAGCCACCACCTGTGAGGGTCGATTCGCACTCTGCCCTGAGTGTCGTGTATTTGCATTGGGTTTTCTGCTTCGACGGGGGCGCACACCTGTGGCTTCCGCCTGACTGCTTTGTCAGGTGATCTTTTAGTTGCAATTCAGAGTTTGATCCTTACACATCAGCAGCAACAGCAACAGCAGCTTCAGCATGTTGCACTTGCCAGTGGCAACAACAACTCAACATTCTCAGCTCGACTTTGGGCACGCCTGCAACAAGCAGCGAAATATCGTCACGGTTCGTCGTCAGGCTTGGTCCTATTTCACATACGCAGCCCAGGAGGAAGTCAAACAGACGCATCTCAAACATGCCGCACTATGTCAAGTGTATGAGGACTTTACAGGTATTTCATTACACAGGCCAGGCATTCACCACCAGCCCAGTTAATGGTGGAAGTGTCTCACAGGGTTGTTCTCACACAAATTTACAAACAGCAAACACATTTTATAACGAACGACTTCACTTTGGGCATTTTGTGGTACGCAATTTAATTGAAATTCAGAGCGTGTTTTTGCACTTTAAGGAATTTGGCGCAAACAAACTCAAACAGACCAGRGAACGAARCTCTGAATTCAAGCGTAATATTTTCTATATATAATATATAATATATGTATATGCATAAACAATTTAAATAGATTTGTTTAAGAAGCAAAGTGAATAATAGCTTGAAGCAGCTTTCTTCAAAGAAAAAGAAAATTCTGTTTAATATATTTTTTGCCAAACTTAATACTTAACTTACTTTTTCTTAGTATTTACCCTACAATGATTATACAAGAAAAAATATGTTTTTGGCTCAATTTCTTGGGAACGTAATTGAAACATTTAATAGCTGTTGCAGTTGCATATTGTTTACTGAACTTGTAACGATAAATAAATTCAATAAATTCAATACTATATAGTATGTATATGCAATACCTATGATTATATGATGAACACCTATATTTATTATCGCAGTTGTTTGGGTCGCTTCAGGTGTTTCATTTGATATTATACGAATTACTGCGTTGAAGACAAACGATTTTCCTGTATTGCAGTATTAAAAGCTGTTGGCTTTTTGTAAACACAACAAACTATATAGTTTACTGTTATAGAGAGACCATAAATTTCCATTGTAAGACTTAGTTATTCTAAAAATTTCATGCGTCATGCGGCGACAACAAAAAAATCAGCAAGAGCAACAACTCCTGTTCATTACCCACTGTGAAAGCAGATGCTGTATGGACCAGAGAGAAGGAGTGAGACAGACAGAGAGAGAGAGAGAGAGAGGGAGCGGGAGCGGGGGTGTGATGGAGGGTATAGTCTGGACTTTGTTCAATTGCCCAAGTGGCGACGCGTCTGCCTCGATAGAGAGATACAAAAGCGCAATTGGCATCAGTTACAGCTGCACAATTCTGGATAAAATTAATGCACAAATGCATGTGCAATCAATTCTGGGGTAGGCAGCAGTAGGGGTAGCTGGGGCGGGGCCGGGAGGCTGGGTGGCTGTTGGAAAATTTGTATGCACTTGAGCAACTTGTGTAGAGCTCATTGTGTAGGCGGGTGGACGGATTGGCGAATGGGCGGATGGGCAGTTGGGTTGTGTTGGGTGCATTTTCTTTCTCTGTGCTTTGGCTTGTCAAAACTACGTTGGCAATGATCTGAAGGTCGCAGAGGGGGGTCGGGTGGGTAGGTAGGCAGCCATAGACAACAAACAA